GTTCTTCTTGGGCCCCCCAGAAAATGTTGCAGCAGGGGATGCAACCCAGGCTGCGGGTCAGTGATGCCCCCAAAACTCCTCCTGCTACAGCAGCACGTCGCTTCGGCAGGAGGATCCTTACCCTGACCCATAGCAGCACCCGGGCCAGCAGATTCCTTCACAGTTTACCCAAAAGAACGGGCCAGTAACAAATCTGTCTGCATGTTTTTCTTGCCTAAAGTCCTTTTCTGGGTGGTCAAAGTAACCTTGAATACCCACCTTGATTCCAAGTCACTTCATGCCAAGCAGAGGGAGGTCTCCGCACAAGTCCTGATGGGTGACGACTCAGGGGATTACCAAAATGACACAAAGTCGGGGCTCAACCAAAAGACACCCCGTCTGCACCGATGGGTCCTGTTCAATTGCAGATCACCAAATGAGTTAAGCAGAAAAACTGCAAAGAATTTTGAAAGCAGATGAAAACGTTGACAACCTTGCCACCAATGCCAAGACCAAAGACGTGACGGCAGAGCCGAGACCAGGAGGGGTCAGTCAGCGGTCAGCAGCCACGGGAGGGCAACATGTTGTGGGATGCTTCGGGAGGGCAGCGCGAAGCAGTAACTACAAGGAAAACAGCAGTTCTTTTTTCTCAGTACAGATTTTATTTCAATTTAATTGCCAGCTTCACCCCATTAAAAAAACCAACCAAATTCCATGAACTTTTACAGAATTCAAGAAGACGTACGTTAGGAGAAACAATTACAACGCAGAGGACCTGGGAAGTACAGCGAACTGTTGGCGTTTCTCAGTGTAACAGCAACGCCGACTACACAGCTATGGCATGGCAGCTCTCTGGAACAGCATTTGTGCATACAGAACAGCAGTGAAAAGCATCCACAACTGCAAATTTTGACTAAATATGTTTTCAATTTATTACAGTACGAGAAGAAAAAAAAAATCACAAGTGAAAGAAACAAAGAGCGTAACTTTGCGTCGGCAGCTTTGAAAACTGCAGCCAGCAGCTATGAAGTAGCCCAGTATGTCCCAGAATGAATCATCACTTTATTCCAGCCCTGGCTCGCAGGCACATCGTACTTCGCTGAAGTACTTTAAATAGCAGTCTGTCTCTAAATGGGATTGTGCAAATCCTGGTGTGACCCGTCACTGTGCTTCC